TGGTTTAAACTTTTGGCTTGTTTTATTATTTACTTAAAAGATACTGAGGGATTATAAACGTGATCTTATTTTAGAAAGATGAAGATTGTTTTAAGTTATTTGGTTTGATTTCTACAGAATATTTCTTTGTTGATCTTCTGTTTTCTTCTTTGTGCTTCTTTTTACTCATGTGATACTTTAAAGATTTTAATCCTGAATGGGATTTTAATCCTGATATATTTGTGATAATCAGAAAAAGTGAATGATAATGTGAATCAGCTGGTTTGGTGTGAATCTTTAAAATAAACAAGTGTTTGTTTTGTTTTTTACAGTAAAGGATTTGGCTCTGTCGTTAATGTCGTTAACCTTCCTTTCTTTACATTTCCGAATGTGTTTGTGTCTCAGATTATTTTGATTATACTTATCAAAGTGTTTGCCTTTATGGAGTCAACTTTATTCTAGGTTTGATAAATCTAATTTGCTGTTCAATAAAACTAGTAATAGCAGCTTGTTTTTTGTCGTTTTTTTTTAGGTGTGGAGCAACATATTCCCACCTGCTGCAGACGGTAGGGATCCACCCCACCTGCGCTGAGGAGGTGGTCAAGATCCATATTACAAAGCGCTCCGGTTTGGACCCAACAGTCACCGGCTGCTGAGGTTAAGCCCCTCGGTTTCTGAACGTCCTGAGCACACAGGGTCTCTAGGTGGGGACCTGGGTTCATCCTGCTCTCTGCTTTCATCTCTCCATTTAAATCTCCCAGTTTAACAGTATTTACTGGGACTTTTTTCTGCCCCTCAGGGTCGATTCAAATCGGCTGATTTAGGTCATCTTTGTTTGCTGAAAACCATTTAATGACCAGGACTGTTTTTATACCGTATAAACACATGTGCTTTGTAGGAAAAGAGCCAAACGAGCAACTTTTTCATTTAAAAAAAAAACATAAGCTCATCAATCAGGTTTAAAACACATATTTAGGATTTTGGTGAGAATTTAGTAAGAATGTGAAATGGGTCTAAATTTCCTTCTGAATATACATTCTGCAAATATTGTTGTTTCTCTGGCTGTACTTCCTGTCCATTAGTCTTAGAGGTGACACATACCACACACCCCCCCCAGCATGACACTGATGGATGGCCCCAGGGCCGTCGCCGCAGCGACACCGCTCCATTTCCCATGGACACACACAGTCAGCAGGGCTCCCATCGGTCAGCCTGCAGAGGCCTGGACCAGGAGCTCCATCTTGTTTTGGGCTCAGACCCCTTCCTCCCCCCCTATATTCCTTTTTCCATCCATAAGCATGGTAAACATATACTCATATGTGCTGTATGAACTCCACATCCAGGGGTTCAACAGCTCCTGTTAATGATGGTGCTCCTCTGAGAGCTGCTCTACTTCAACTCACCCAAAGGCGGCACTGTTGCCCTCCGATTCTCTCCTGCTCTCCCAGCCAACAATGGGAGACAGGATGAAGTAGTCACTGTATAAAATATAAGCCTGAATGTATTCAGGTTGCACATTTAATCCCTTTAATCCCTATTAGTGATACGTGCCTCCAGAAGAAGCTGGAAAGCAGCCTGACTTTATTGGTGCCAGGCTGATAAGGTTATCTGCGGTATATTTACATGGATGGCAGGTTAGCCCTTAAGAGTCATCACCCTTAAAGATAAGGTGACTTGTTTATATCAATAAAGCATTAATGGACCCCTCACTTTGCCAACCGTTCAACCTGCTGCCTGTTTCAGGCATCTTGGCTTTATTAAGCGGACATGGGGAAAGGAGGGGGCGGGGGACTGTCGGTAAGCAGCAGAAATCGAAGAACCTGTGAGGAGGCTGGAGTTTATTTTTATTTGAAGTCTAATCTGCCCGGACTGATTAATGATTCCGATGAGGGGAGTGACAGACCGTCAGGAGATGGAGAGATGAAAAAAGAGAGCACGAAAGCTACCAGGTTTGTTTGGGCCTCGGCCCGAGGAGAGAGAGCTGAGTACCAGCCCCGGCTGGGGAGTGAGGGGGATTCCTGTGTGCTCTGTTCAGGGCCGAGGTGCTGACTGAAGGACCCTGACCTCCGCTCAGCAGGAACAGCTTGACTCTATCACTTGGAGCACAGAGGGCTCATGTGCTGCAGCACAGCACAGCAAGGGCCTCCATGGGGGGGTTAAACAGAGAGGGAGGGGAAGCATGGGCCGTGGAGCACACCAAACCAGCCAACACAATACCGAGTTGTGCCCTGGGTTACTCAGTCTATGTTCCTGTGCTTAACGAGGCACTTCAGGGGCCGCCAAGGTGGGCCCCAGGCAGTGTAAGGGAAGTCATTGAAACTATCAGTTTAGCTGTAATATCTGTTTGCTTTTTCCCCCTTCACTTCCCCTCTGCTTCTTCCCTCTCCTACGGCTGCTGACACGCACAAAAAGACATTTCTTTTAGGTTTACGGCCATATCTCACTTGAAGGATTCCTGTTTAGTATCGATGCGGAGGTCAAATATTTGCCCTTTAAACCTCAGTTGTGCTCCGCGGTGCAGAGGTGTGCGAGTGGGGGTCAGGGCTCAACTTTCAGGTCGGCCAGCTAATGATGACCTGCACTCAAAACCAGAACCGGAGAGTGCGGGCCTGATGTCACCTGGCCACAAACTGTCAGAGATGTAAATAGAGCAATGTCATTTTACAATAAAGCTTTCATTTGTTATTTATATGTGAAATGAAAACATGTGATTGTGTTGATAATAAAGAAATTATGGCCATTGATTGAATGCTCTGTCTTTTATTTCAAAGACTGATCTGATCAACAAGTAAACTGTTTATTTGTGGAGAAACTAAAATGAATGAAGGTAAAACAACCATTGAAATATTTTAAATGCAATAATGGCAGAGAGTCATCTCATTCGAATGTCTGAAAGCTATTGAAGCTAAAGCTAGCCGTAGCGCTAGCTTAGTCCAGAAAGCGCAGGCTGTGTGGGTTTTAGCTGTTTTCAGAAAGAATTTTGTTGTTTTTATTCTTACAGTTTTTATCTTTTTAAAAAGCTTTAGAAGAAATCAGGAATGTTGAATCTTTTCATTCAGATTCAATGCTAAACGGACATTTTTATTGACATTGGCTAACGGCTGCTTCAAATATTTACCAATTTTATTATTCCCTCTTTTCATTTTTTATTTTTGTGTGACATTTTTCTTTGGGAAGATGAGATGTTTTTAAGCACAAACCAGTTTTAAGCTGCACAAATGTCAGACTGTAAAGCTGTGTTGTCATTCTGTAGCAATGGAAAAGGGTCAGTTTATTCATATTTTATGCATAAATTCACTGTGCCAAGGTATTAAAAATACAAAAATACATATCTGAA